GGGTAATTATGTGCTTTTAGGGGTAATTGCGTGCTTTTTGTCACCACTTTAGTCTTTACTTGCTCCAAACAGCTCTGTAAAATTTGGCTCAGAAAACCAGGAAAGTGTGCAGAGAGGAGTCTTATTCAAGGCACTTAAACATTTCTTTGAATAAAAGACATGAGATGGGAGAGGGAGAGAGAGCCCTCCAAGCACTTAAGGTATCCAGTCAGAAGCTGTGCCCCTCACTCAGCTCTGAGCCTGGCCTGCATCCTACTGTTTGCCTTGAGCAAGTCCAAAGTGAACAAAAGTGCCTACAGCATCTTCAGGGGGACTAAGACTGTTTATGTGTAGAGTAAGAGGGGTCACCTACTATGGTTTCCAAAACAAGAAAAGATTTTGCTTCTTAAAACTCTTCCATGTCTCTCTATCTACAGATAAAGCTTAACTCCTTGGCAAGGAATCAAGGCTTTCCAAGACTTGACCCCTGCCTACTTTTCCAGCGTAATTCCTGCTACCCCCGGCTTGAACCACTTAGACCCTGCCACACATGCAGGATGTTCTTTCCACACCTCTGTTCCTTTGATCCTGTTAATATTCTGTCTGGAATATCCTTCCCTGGCTAATCCCTACCTGCCCTTTAAAATTTGGCTCAGGATTTGATATAAAATGCAGCCAAAGAAATTCTCAGAGGAAAATGCATAGCCTTAAAATAACTCATTAGAAACCAAATAAGACTGATAATAAACTGAAGAATCTAGAAAAAAGACCAGCAAACAAACCTGAAGAGAGTATACAATGAAGAGAGTCCCAATTAATATATCATCCTTCAAAAAGAATTTTTTTTTTACTTAGTTTCTAATAAACTGTGAAGAATTTTTTTAAAAATCACAGTTTCCTATGTAATTATGTTCTAATATCCTACAGCCTTCAGTCAGGAAGTTCTTTCTAGTGTTTAACCTCCATCCTTCCTGCTGTTCAGTGAGGTATCTGTGGAGGCGAGGGGTGTACCCGTTGAGTCCTTGAACATCCATGTGCTGTCGTCTTCCTCCTCCAGGGGAGACCTGCTCTCTGACTCGCTGAGTCGACTGCGTCGGAGGGAGTGGGAGATGGGAGCCCGGCGGCGGCTTCTCTTGCTAAGCTGCACCCGGGTCTTGAGGGCACTTGAGTCGAGGACTGAGGTTTGCTTTGGGAGCAGCAGGGAAGAAAAGGGGGAAAAACAAAGGAACCATTCATTGAGGGCATCACCCAAGAGAGGTGTGTGTGTAATTTCACTGATGCACAAGATCCTATTTAGGTGGCAGCAATTCTGTATTTTAATAATACCTTAACACCCGAAGTCAAAATTTCTCCATGAAACAAACCACATACATTGATTATAAGAATCAAATGATGCTTGATTGCCCTGGCATTGTGCCTGGCACATAGTGGGCACACAATGGAAATGCCTTTCCCCTCCTGGTGACATCACATGAGCACACAAACTAGAGCAATGCTCAATACATAGCAGGAGCTGGACAAAGGTTTGTTGAATGAATGACTGAACACATCACCTAATTAAGTCCTTATAATCCACACCGTGTCCATGTTTATATAGTGGGTGCCCCCGTGGAAACTGAGCTTGTGTCTTTCCCTGTCTTTATCCAGAGGTGCCAGCTGACCATACTTAAGGAGGGGAATCCCCTTTGAGGCCCTAGAGGAAGCCCCGCTCCTAAAGCAGTGGTGCTCTTTTTCTGGGGGCAATCTGGGCAGCGTCCTGGAAGGGGCGGGAGCAGGAGGCAGTTGGACCTGGGCAGCCGGCATCCTGGAGGGCAACTCTGCTTGGCACCTGGAAAAGCTGAGTTCTCGGGGCTGCCCCTGGGGACCCATACAAGGGCTACCCATGCCTCAGGGGGTCTCACCTTCTTGGAACCACTACCACCCATTTACAGAGAGATTTGGACCCCCTGGTACTAGGGACACATCCCACTAAAGCAAGACCTTGGTGAGAACACCCGGCAGGGCTGTGAGGTCAGAGCTCACCTAACAGGTGTGGGCTGGGATCAGTGTTAATTTGAACACATGTAATTATATCTAAGGCTGCAGAGTCCATTACGCTGGTTACAAGTGGTAAGGAACCCGAGGCTCAGGGATGGGAAGGCATTTGTCCCAAGACACACAGCTGGTGGATGGCAGGTCCAAGCCACAGGCAGACATCAGTCCCATCTTAGATTGTGCCCGCTGCACCCACCAGAGGGGTGCCTGGCACACAGATTCTACCTCAGAAAGGGGCAACGTGCCAGGAGATGCTAGAGCGTCCCTTTAAGAGGACATGACTGTTTCGGGCACACGCTCCCGGTTACCGACTTACATCGATGAAGGAGAAGTCGTCCACTTTCTTCGTAGAGCCAGTGTCCGGTGGGGGCAGCCCCTCCGTCCCATCGGTGGACTCTAGGTCGGTGCTGGAGCGGTCCACGCTGGTGCTCCGCTGGTCCCTGGAGCAGTCATGCTGGTCCCCGGCCGAGGTGGCCTCCGTCGGGGATGACAGCGAGGACAGGCGGCTGCTGGAGGGCTGTTTCCGGGCCGACGCCGCACTGCTGTCTGGGGAGGGGGACTCGGGGGCCAAGCTATGAGAAAGGAAGGAAGGGAGACACATCACGCAGGCTGCTTCTGAGAACTGAACATCAAATAAAGGAGGCGGCAGAAAGTGGGGTGCGGGGGTGCTCCCTACACCAGGAACAGCAGACAGACGTCCCAGGAGGAGAGCCACTTTGGGCACACGGCCAGGTGCTGCTCCTGGTGCCGCTAGAACACCTGGACCGGTGCGGATGGGGGGGCTAACCTCATGAAATTAAATATCAGCCTCGGTAAGGGGAGGAAACTGAGGCACAGGGATGGGAGGTAGCTGCCCAAAGGGGCAGAACTGACTCCAGAATCCACGTCCTTGACTCTCTTCTACTTCTGGGATTTCTTCGCATGACAATATATTCAAGTACCACCTGGATCACAGGAATCGCATACAATAGACAATTTATAAATAAGTCAAGTCGTTACACTAAAAAGGCTCTCCCTGCCCATAAAAAAGACACCAAGGTCAAGAGCACAGGGAAGCCTCACCCCAAGGAAGGGTGTGGGCAGGCCAGGCCCCAGCACCCTGACAGGGGGTCTATCCTGAAAGACAGCCCCTCCCAGCTGCATCCTTACGCAAACCCTTCAACCCAGGTGTACTGGGCGCACAGCCATGCTTTTTGTCAGCTCTGGGATGACTTTTTGCTTGAAATAGGCAGGACTTCGGGGTGTGGGGTGGGCTTGAGCCAAATCCACAAAAAATAAGGAGAAATAGCATCGAGGTGGCAGCAGAGGGCGCTGCTACCTAGGGCTGGGAGCACAGCTGCCCCTGGGGCCCTCCGGGAGGGGGCGCTGCAGTGCCTCCTGGAGACAGAAGGGGCTGCCCACCCACTGGAGGCCCAGGGAGAGAACAGCCAGCTAGGGCGGAGCTGGGGTGCAGGCCCGCCGGCCCCCGGAATCCTGGCTGCACTGGATAACCTTCAGGCTTCTGCCGCAGTCCTAGTCTCCCCCAGCCAGGCTGGCATCTGAGAGTCTTACAAGCCGTTAACAGTGGTCATATTAAATGCAGGCAGTTTATAAAGCAATATGTACAATATGTAAACACACACACAGATATATTGAAAAAAGTCTAGAAAGGAAAAAAACATTAATGAAGGTGATATCTGTGTGCTGAGATTACTGTTGGTTTTCATTTTCTTTATAATTTTTTTTAATTGTGGTAAAATACAAATAACGTAAAATTTACCACTAGTGGGGTACAGTGCCTTTACAATGTGCAACCATCACCGCCACGTAGTTCTAGAACATTTTCCTCACCCCAAAAGGAAACTGGTGCCGGTTCAGCTGTCATTCCCCACTGCCCTCCCTTCCGGCCCCTGGCAACCACGAATCTGCTTTCTCTCTCTACGGATTTGCCTATTCTGGACATTTTACATTTCATTTATTATTACCTCTTAATACTTTCTAAATTTTTATTTTACAAGAAGGGTTTACTCTTATCATTACAGACAAAGCATGTTCCAATAATACAGAGCGCTGATCCCCGCCCCGGAGTCCCACCCCGCAGCCAGGAGCCCGCACCCCCGCACGCCCCGCCTACCTCTCCCCGCTCTGGTGCTGGTCCGTCCAGGTCCCATACTGGCTGTCGGCTTCCTGTACGAGGGTGTCGGTGTCCTTGGCCTCGGGCGGCCGCCTGGAAAAACACTGTTTCAGCTGATCCTACAAAGGAAGGCCGGACAAGCGGTTACTATCCGGGAAAAATGCTCAGAACACGGTCCCAGGCGGCACGAATCGCCCCAGCTCCCTACTGCTCGCAGAGGTGGGCCCCGATGTCTCGGCTGGGCGCCAGCGTGGCCCACCGTCCAGGTTTGCCCAGGACACGGCCGGACGCAGAGCTGTTGGTGCTAAAGCCGGCGGACGTGCTGGGCCCTGCTGGGCCCTGCTGGGCGCCCCCGACCCTCCTCAGCGCCATCTCCGCCGGCACTGCAGCCGGGCCAAACCTCTCTCCACCTTCAATGCTCCCAGGACGTATCAGTCTGGTTAGGGCACCCCCTCAGGGGCACCCCACCCCGCGTTCCCATGGCTGCCATGTTTCCCCCCACTTGGGCCCTGAGCTGGACTTTTTTGACACGCACTTCCGACGGCTATCAACCATCCCCAACCTATACGCCAGTTGTCACTGTCAAATGAGGGTCATCAAACCTTATCAGTTCGATCTACAAGGACCCTGGAGCCCTCCCTTTTCAGATGAGAAACTGAGGCACAGACAGCAAGTGCTGTGAGGCTTGGTTCTCGCAGTGAGTGAGACGGGGAGGAGGGGCTGGAACCCAGGTTTCTGGGCTCCTATCCCAGTGCTGCTCCCCGACTCCCAGCACCCACCTGCCCCCACCTTATTCAGGAAGCTGCAGGAGGCTCTGATGGGGAAATGCACATTAAAATGCTCTGCAGGGCCCCAAGAACTTGGCAGGTTTAAAACCCACTTGCTGGGACGTGCTCCCCAGACCGCACACGGGTGGAGGCAACTCTGGGCCCTCGTCTCGCAGGCAGACGCAGCCTCAGCCCGGGGCCCATAAGGGACAGTTTTGCAACACCCAGCTGGGAGCCAGGGGGACAGATGCCTTCAGGGGCTGAGTCCGAACAAGCCACGGCACATCCGAAATTTAAAACGCGCATCCCCTCGACTCAGCAATTTTACTTCCAGAAACTTATCTCAAGAAAATCAATAGACACCCTTGCCGAGATCCACGGACGTGGACACTCCCTCCAGGGTTGGTGATCACTGCAAAATACTGGCCGTGACCTCAATGTCCAGTAAGGCGGGAACTGGTGAGATGCAAGGTGGTGAACCCACGCGGTGGATCCACCACGGCCCAGCGAGGTGGCGTTCAGAAAGAATATTTACTGTCCCAGGAGGATGCCTGCCTTATACTAGCAAACGTCAAAAAAAAAAAAGGTACTAAAACATGTGTGCTATGTTATTCAATTTTGTAAAAATAAACACATATACGTACGTGAGTGTAAGCAAAGGAAAACCTCTGGAAGGCTCCACAACACACTGTTCCCATGGTGCTGCCTGGGGTGAGATAACAGGCTGTCTTTTGATTACTGACTCTGGTTTTATTTAGTATCCACCCCTGTAATTTTACATCTCAATATAACCTGATGATAAAATTAAATGAAATTAATGGCATCATACCTCCGATGCTGCTACACTGTACACGTCGTGAATTGAGAACAAACCAGAAGGGGCTCTTTATTTGCTCATCTGTATCAGAGCCCAGTAAGCTTTTTCTGTAAAGGGCCAGACAGTAAGTACGTGGGGCTCTGTGGGCCGCCCGGTCTCCGTCCCAGCTGCTACACTCTGCCACTGTTACCGAGAAAGCAGCCCAGACAATATGTGAGTGTGTGTGGTTGTTCCAATAAAACTTTATTGACAAATAGGTGGCTGGCTGCACTTGGCCCATGGGCAGTTTGCTGATCCCTGATCTATAGCCTGTAGACTGTCGGCTGGCTCCTTCAGGGCTGTGTCCCCGCACCTAGAACCATGCCTGGCCCGGAGCAATTGCTGCATAAGTATTTGTTGGAAGAATATGTTTCTGAAAATAACTTTTTTTGTATGAGTAGGTGTGAGATTCTTAACCAGAAAAGAGAATGCAGTCAGCGAGGGGGCAGGGAAAGGAGAGAATATTATGTCTGCATGTATTTTGGGGTATCTGACACATCCGACTAAGAAAGTGCCCTGAGTCAGGGCCGAGCTTGGTGACCCGCAGCTGACAGCGCAATTCCGAGCAATTCAAGACGTGTGTCCCCTCCCCCCTATGCAACTTTACACCCCCAGCTGGGCAGGGAGCTCTGCAGTTGTGGGGCCCAGGCTGGTGTGGTGGCCCAGCTCTGTCTCAGTGCCTCTGAGGCCCCGTTGCACCCTCCTGTCCTGTGTCCAGGTCAGACCCATTCGAGGACTGAGCGGTAATAGTAACGATAACATTGAAGGCTAACTAGTGGGCACTGATGATGTGCCATTTACTCTGCCATCTAATATTCTCAACAGCCCTATGCAGCAGAACTGTCATGGACCCATTTTACAGGGGAGGAGACTGAGGCCCCGCGAGGCAACCTGACATGCCCAAGGTTACACAGTTAGAAAGTGGGGGACCTGGGATTTGAACCTGGTTTGCCTGATGTCCAGGTCTGAGCTCCCCAAAGCCACTGCATTCTCCTGGCTCGGGCTTGACATGAAGAGCTTTGTTGGGTCCTCAATGACCATTTTACAGACAGAAAATCAGAGGGCCAGGCAGGGGAACGGGTGCCTGCCCAGGCATAGAATCCAGGTGTCCTGACTCCTTGGCCTGTGCCACAGTCCATCCCTAGATGCGCCCACTGATGGGGTCTCAGACCCAGGAAGGGAAGAAGGGGAGGGGGGCAGGCCAAGGATGGGCCGACTCCCCCAGCTTGTTACACCCACCCTAGACCTCCCAACCCAGGCTCTTATCTTCAGATAAGATACTGCAGCCTGCAGGGCCCCAGGTCCACACCCGCTCTCCACCTGGCCAAGTGCCGCATCCTTCAGAGCCCACAGTGAGTGCAGCCCCTCCAAGGGGCTTCTCTACCGGAGTCTAGGCCAGAGTCCTGTTCCCAAGAGCCCTGACCTCAGGTGGTGGTTCTAAGTCACTTGTATGACTCATTGGGTGCCTGTCCCTCCCAGGACATATCAAGGTCCAAGAGGGGCGAGCTGAGCTCTGTCGCCACTGGATTCTCAGTGTGTACAGTACCTGGTGCTTAGTGAGTGCTTAGTAAATGGGAGGGAAGGGAAGGAAGAGGGGAGGGAGGGAAGGAATGAAAGAGGGGAGGGAAGGGGGGGAAGGTGCCAGACCAGAAGGAAATGGACTTGGAGGGGAAGGGGACTGGGCAGAGCTCTCAGAACCCTCTCCCCAAGCTGCCAGCAAACACTCCCCTAGGAGCCTTTCCTGGGAACTTGGGTCCCAGCTAGTAGCAGTCGGGGCTGTCGATGGACTTCTGGGTAGCCCATGATGTCCCCTCAGGCCATAGCACAAGCCAGGCCTTGCCCTGTCCTTGCCCAATGGCGGGGAGGAGGGGTTCCCAGGGAAAGTCCACAGGACAGCAGTTGCTGATCCCTCTTAACGGGATCTAAGAACAACAGTGCAGGAACAGTCAGATGTGGCCCAGGTGTGGCCAGGTGTGGCCAGGTGTGGCTGGCTGTGGCTGGGTGTGCTGGCTTGGATGGGGAATAGCTCAGGGTCTAGGCTGGTCACCTGCCCATGGACTCAGGACACATCATGGGCATCAGTCAGTGGGGAAGGAAGGTCTTGGGGTCACCTCTGAGCTTGGTGGCAAACTTGGAGTGGAAGGAGGAGAGTAGAAAAGTGAAGGAGAGACAGAGGCAAATGGAGGCGGAGAGAAGCGGCAAGGAGAGAGCAAGACAGAAACTGAGAGAACACGACCACGACTGAGGAACACACAGCAAGAGCACAGAGAGACACACGGGCGACAGCGACGGAGAGGTGGGCCAGGAGGGACGCCTGGGCCCCAGGAGGGGCTGGACGGGACGGGACGGGCCCACCTGGACTGTGGCTCTGTCCACAGGAACACACCTGCTCCTGGACTCCACCCCCTGACCCACCTTGGCAAATCCAGCTCTACTTTTTGCTAACTGTGACCGAACCCTGCTAAACCTCAATTTCCCCATCTGTGAAATGGGGTGAGCAGGATGCAGACAGGTGGTGGAGGAATCTGTAAAGTGTCTGGTAAGAGCTGCAATGCAAGGCACCTGGTAAGTGCCCAGTAGATGCCCGCTGACCTGACGATGATCATGTCTACTGTTTAGTTCCCAAAACACACGATTTTAACAAACACTCTAAACAATGCACTAACAGACCTGAATGAGCCTAACAGTCACGCCTTTCAGCTGAGAACAAAGGGGCAACCTAACCTGATCCCTGAGTCTCTCCCTCAACCTGGACATTTGTCAGCTGCTCCCCTCCAAAGGACACCCACGGGAAGGTCATGTCACAAAATGAACTGGACCCCAGCTCTGCCCCACAGTCCTGTCACCCTCCAGGGCCGAGCCATTGCCGGCACATACAGGCTGCAAAAGGACGGCTCTGGCAGTGACTCACTGTCTCCATGGGACAAGTGTGCCACCTAAAGTGACAGGGGCACTCGCTTGCAGCTGGCCCTGAGGAGGCATCTTTGGTTTTGGTTGGGAGTGCACGACAAGGCTTCAGAGCAAGGGTTTCCTTGCTACCCCGACAGCCTTGAGGCTATAAACAGAAATGACAGCTGGGCCAGGGGGCCCCGGCTCCCGCCAGCCTCCGACGCAGAGTCCCCCAGCCTCCAGAGCCCAGCAGCGGGCAGCCTGGGGCCTGAGCTCTGGATGTCAGAGGTGAGCGAGGAGGCGGCAAGAATAGCAAAAGCCCTGAACACTTAAGCAGCACAGACTGTGCCTGGCGCCACATCAAATTCCTTATGCGGACCATCTAGTTTAATTCCCACAGTAGATACTATTAATGTCCCCATTTCACGGATGAGGTAGCTGAGGCTCTGAGAAATGAAACAGCACCAACAACAGACACTCACATGCGCTTACTGTGCGCCAAGTTGCAGAGTATAGTCCACCCAGCAACCCTAAGTAGAGGCTACTGTTATTACCCATTTCCCAGATAAGAAGACTGAGACACAGAGGTGAAGGGACTTGCCAAGGA